TGTTTGGTTGAAAATCCAAGTTTCCCTAGATAATCTCCATTCCTCCTCCACTCCCGAAAATTCCCCAAAAACACCCCCAACCACGTCTCACCTCTCGTCTGAAAAGAAGCAAAACTGAAAAATTCCCCTTAAAAACAACTTACAAATGTTGGTTAAAATGTCCTTTCGTCTCCGCACTTCCAACTCCTCCCCATTTCCTCGGCAAAGAAATCGAAGGAAACGTCGGTTAGTTTTCACGCGGCGTTTTCTCGCAATTTTTATTAAAGAACTTTATCCCGTTGGAAATCTCTCCGCGTCAATCCGCGAGGGAAGAAAGGAAGTGGTGAAAATGGTCCATAAATCTGCACGAGGAACACGAACAAATGTCACGAAAAATCTCGCCGCCACGGCGTAGCAACTTCCCACCCCCCGGCTCTGTGTGATATTCGTACGGGAGGTATCGCGGCTGTGTAGACGATGAAAATTTTCCGGCAACATCCGACCAAACTTGTACTTTCCCGGCAAGTTCTCGATCCTCCAAGTACACTTCACCTGCGAGTAAATCAGAATAGGATCAAAGGATCGTAGGATCCTCCTCGACATACGGATAGGCTGCTTTTGTGTGTATCTGTAGCATCTCTCTCTCTCTGTATCTTCTTCACCGGTGAAAAACAAATCTCCCGGGGGTTTCGCTCATTCTACGCGCGCGATACTTGAAAAACACGGTACTCGGAAATAATGCACGCGTACATTTGCATACTCTGTACACGTCGCGTGAAAATAAATAGCATGTGAGAAGGAAAAAAGGAGCCAAGTGTGAGAATAAATAGTAGGAGAGATGTGAGAGAATTTTGAAAATAATGCTCGCCGGTGGGCGGGGGTGAGAGGTGGATCTCCCGATGGTTGAAAATAAATCGGACATCGAAATAAAGTATTGTTAGAGCGGGAAATGTGTCAACTTATTTTTCCTCTGCTCTTGTGGACTCTCTTCAGTTTTTAATAGCATCAGTGCGTTTTGTCGGAAAGAGACTTTATTCGTTCAAAATCGCCATATTCTTTGAGGAGGAGGAGTCGTCGGTTGTTCGATAAATGGAAGAAGTAACGGAGATCATTTTTAACGTTTAACCCTTTCGCGACTAGCGCCGGTTATATCCGGCATCCACTAAATGCTTCGCACTTGCTAGCGCCGGTTATATCCGGCATCCACTAAATGCTTCGCACTTGCTAGCGCCGGTTATATCCATTTATTTTAAAATAAGGCCTCAACGACATTCCCTTTGTCCGATACACCCTTAAGCCCTCTGCTGTTCCAACGAAATCCTGTAAGATTTGAAAAAGCGCGAGACACTCTTAATGTGTACGGTGTGCACTAATGGCACGACGACCCGTTCGTTAGTGGCGTACCGATGCCTAGTTCCGCCGTCGCGAAAGGGTTAAAACTGTCTTCGATTTTCGGTAAATCAACGTTCCTGACGAATCTATATAATGTAACTTTCCTTCAGAAGAAACCCTTTATCTTTAAACGAACTTCTTCCGAGTAATTCGTTCTCATGAACCGACTTCAAATCCCAACTTTCGAGGCTTCGTTCCGCGTTAAATTCGAATGAGACTTCCACCTTGATATTCCCTAAAACGTTAAAATCGCTCTCCTTAATTTTTCAACGTTACACTCCAACTTTTCGCAACACCACAGAAATTATTTACCAGAAACTATCGACTAATAACGCAATCTTCTTCTTCACAGTCGCAAAACACTTGAAACATTCACCGTGAAAAAAGAAATCGTTTCTTTTTCAAACCGTTTCATAAAAACACCGCGGAAAGTTCGTCGGCTCTTTGGTGAAACAAGTTGGAAAAAAGTACGGTACCGCTACGATTATAAATAATGTATGATAGCGTTATCATTACGGAATGGAGTTTTGAAGTCATGAGCGAGATTCATTAAAGATTCATTTCGGACACGGCGCTTAATCAGCATGGAATGCCGTAATAATACATACATTTGCATGCGGTACGTGTACAGAAGAAAGAGGGAGGGGCTTTGGAGGGAAAGATTGAAGCCGGGAAAACAGAGGAGCCACGTACGGAAAGCACAGAGGATATCTTTGCGAGTGAAACGGAGAATTTTCCACGGTAGATAGAAACGACAGATATGCAAAAATCGAGACGTTGATATTCCGCAATTAACGACACGATCTTCAGGTACGCTTTTCTGCTCAGCGATTAATTATACTTGGAGAAATCGTTCACGTTGGAATAGAATTCTTTACGAATTTTCGCTACCCTTCCGCTTTGTAACGAAGCGAGAGACACGCGTTCCGTGAAGATTTTGGCAAAAGAAGAAGTGCATTTCTGTTAAATTTCTGCTTCTGCTGCAACTTCAGCTTCAGTTTTTAAGACTGACGATTAAAAAATACAAATTTTGCAGAATATTTTGACTTTTTTTTTTATTCAACGCTATGTTTCTGTTAAATTTATGGTTTTCCTCCGACTTTAACTTCAGTTCTTAAGACTGGCGATTGAAAAATACAAATTCTGTGTGATATTACGACTCTTCTTTATTTAACGCTATAGAAAAACATTGGACAGCTGAAACTAACGTTTATAGCGATTAAAGAATAAGGCAAAAATTTTAAAAATGAAAACAGATCACTCGCCGAAATAATTTGCACTATTTTTGACGACCTTTCGCTATTTTTCTAGCAACTTGCGAATTCCATCGCGACAGAAACTTAGAAGAATTCATTTTTTTTTTCTTCTCTCTAATTATAGAAAATGAAAATTCTATAATCGAAACAGTGAAAACTGTTTTAAAATGACACAGACGATTTCTATTTCTCACCGCGTTGTAAAATTAAAAACCACGAAAAAGGTAAGTACTCCTTCGTAATTCTGTTAAATTCAGTTTATCTGAAAGTAAATAATTACTTTTAAAATAAGTTCGTGAAAAATTCAGTTTTCGTTAATGTTAAAAAATATTCGGTACTCAAGAGGAACGTTCCACCGGAACTTTATTAATTGGCAATTACACGTTTACCTACATTTGACGAAACGTCGAGGATACATTAAAATCGCGGTTTTGCAGACAAGGCAATTCAATT